AATGACAAAAATTTACATTGCAATTATTGTTCTTTTGTTATTCAGATTACCTGAGAAAAGACCGTCGTACAAAGAAGATCTTCCAAGTTTACCAAGGTTGGAGATACCATGATTGAAGAGATATGTGTGTGAATGTATTGCTTATGTTTAATTCATATTACTTAAAGAAGTAATTTATTATTTATGTCATGCATAAAGAGCTTTTAAGAAGATTAAACAATTGTTTTTATAAAATTAAGCTTTCCCAAACATGTTTTTATTGTATAATGAAGGACTATGCTATGTTATGTGTTTAGAGAATTAAATTGTTCCCCTAGTGGTGCCCCCATTCATGATAGCTAAACTAAAATTTCAATATTATGGATGCAGAACAAACATATCATAGTCACCCCTGATACTAGAGTTTTACAGGCTATGCAACTGATGACTGATATGTGTGAGCTTTAAAATAATAAAAATATTTAGTTTAATAGACATGAATTGTCACTATAAAAGTTTCTTGACTATGAACTAATCCGAAATCACACTAGGTTGTTGAATTGTTGGCAAACGTACCAAAATTATCAATCGCAGTATAGTATTTCGATAAAATAAAAGTCGATCCCACGAGGAACAGTTTCAATGAAAATTCTCAATTATGCTTACTAAGTATATTAAATAGATTGAGTTTTGCAAATAAGAGCTGAGTTGAATTTAAATGACAAAAAACTGTAAATTGTTGAGAAAATATCAATTAAAGGTACTTAGGATTGACTATGTCAATTAAGAACGTCAATTAACCTAACAATGTTGATGTCACCTACTCAAATCATCCATGTTGATTTCTCACAGATGAAATTCATAAGAAAACCTAATAAATGTTGATTTCTCACACAATTAACAGATTTTCCAGCATTAGGGTTAGGGTGTTTAAGCAATTGATACATTCATTCCATTCCTGACAATTAACGTAACAAATATTCTTACCGTGATTTAGGGTTCAAGATATATTTTCCATTCATACCTCAAACAATCAAGAATAAATCATTCCAAAACATAAAGGATAAGAATAACAACATCAAAACATAGATTAATATCTCAAAATATCACCATGATACAAAAGAGTTCAAAGAAAGTGCACCGAATCCTAAGAGAATGAAGTTAGTCACTCATGTTGGCCATTACAATGCTCCAAATGAAGAAGTGAAGAATTAATGAAGATTAGACAAAACCCTAACAGTAGTCGTGTCTCCTCTCCTCCAAGACTGTTTGCTTTTCTCAAAACACAACTTATCTTTTTATAAGAGAATTTGGGTCGGGTCTCGCATCATTCATTCGCTTAAGCGCTCTTCTTTCTTTCAATTTTACTCCAATTATGCTCCTTACTCTTGTATCAAGGTATTCTCGAATTCATCCTATAGTGGGAGAAAAATATATTATAATTAACATAAGTTAAGTGGTTTCATAATAATTCAAGACATAATTATATCAACTTTTTACACTTAACATAGGTATGACTTCGAGAGATATTTATTATTATAATCACGGTTTGTAATTAGATAATGATAATAGGAAAAACATTGTTAGTACATGTATTATGCATTATTGAAAGATATCACATAACTTGACAATTAGCATCATTTTTTATTTGAAACAAGGATAAATTACACATGATTTTAGAAGATTTTAAAGTTTAATATCTCTTTCGTTACATTGTTAAGATGAAAAACTGTGAAAAACAATTTCAAAAAATCTGCACTGTTTGAGAATAACATTATGATTTATTTTTGTTTTTGTTGCATATTGAATGATGACAGGTGACTTTGTAGAATTAGATAATTGGAATTCAATGCGAAGGTGAGAAAATGTAAGAGAATAATATTCTCCATAAAAATGAGTCTTATATTTCAAGATATTGACAGTTTCATTTCATGCATTTGTGATAATTATATTCGAGATAATAGTATTTTGTTTTTTTTTTTATGTTTTATTTTACAATTTACCTATCAAGGATCATATGAATGTAAGACTAAATAATTATCTTAAAAAAATTCATATTAATTTTGATTTTAGTTTAGTTTTTTAGTCAAATAAATAAACAATTTTTTTATAATAATTTAATTATTTAATAAAATAAAATATATAATCATTTATTTGTCAATTTCATATATATATATATATATATATATATATATCTATATAATTTTTAATTATTATTAATTTAGTACATACTTTAATTTATTATATTTATATTAAAATATGTATGTAAAAGAAATGTTTAATCATTTTTTCTTTATATGGATATTAAAAAATTATAACATTATTATTATTATATTATTAGTATTATAATGTATTTAAACATTTATTTACATATATAAATTATTTATTTTTTAAGTTGTCATTTTAAAATATTTATAAATATGAAATATATAATTTTTGAGAAAATATTTAATAAGTTAATTCTTATTTAATTAGTTTAAAGTAATAACAGACTTTAATTATCAATTCTTTTTAATTATTTAAAATATAATTATTTTATTAAGAAAAATTGATATATAATAAATAAGAATAATAAATCAAAAAAATATAATATAAAGAAATCTAATAAAGATAAATTAAAAATAAAATAATATTAGTTACTAAAAGATTGATGTATAATATTTAGAAAAAGATAAAAAAAAGAAAAATTAACTTTGTATTTGTCAAATTTATTGAAAAGATGTGAAAAACCAAATTGATTAAAAAGACTAAGAAAATGTGAAAAAGTCAAAGATAAAAAAAGAATAATAAATTGATTGATCTAAGAATTTGAAAAAGATAAAATAGTGAGAAGTGGACAGAAGAAAAGTAAAAAAAGGTAAAATGTACAAAAATGATTTTATATAATGTGAAAAAGGAAATTAAATATTTGAAAAATATTTAAATTTTAGGATTTAAATTTAATTATAAAGGTGGGGTAGGGCGGACCAAGGTGGAGATTACATTATCCATCATTTTCCTCGTTCTCGACTTTTTAAAGTGAGAAAAACTCAAATCCACCCCTGGTCAACTTAGTTTTTTCCAGTCAAAATCGGGACTGGGACCGATCGATCTTTGTGGGTATAAGTTTAATTATCATCCCTAACTTGATCTTGTCCCCAATCAACTTAATTTTTTATCGTTAAACTTGGGATGGAGATAGATCAACCCCCTCGAGTATGAGTTTAATTGTTATCCTTATATACAAAGATAACAAGTGATTACAAATATTTCGAGTGTCTAAATTTTTGTTGTCAATAGTATAAAACAACCCGGATGTTACGAGTTGTTTTAGGAAGGAACGACTTTAAAGAATAACCAAGAAGAGTAGGGAGTCCAAGAAATAATAATAATTAAAAATTATAATTTTATAGAGAAGTCATATTGAATGGGTATTATTGATTGAAATTTACAAAGAGAATTATCTTACAAAAATTGAATAAATGTACTAATGCTGAAACTGCTATATAACAGTTCAGTTACAATTTAACAACTAATGGCTCAAGACTTGTCACCTGTCCAACCTACGTGTCTGATCCTGCATCACCATGTCACCCAAAGACCCCATTAAAATGGAGAATCAAAGGAAAAAAAGATAAAGAAGAGGTGATAAAGATACTTTCTTCTTGCACTTCCATTGTTAAATTAAATTCTATTTTATCCTTAAATCTATTTTCATAATTTGTAAGTGTTTATTTTTTATTTTTAGACCTTTTAATGTATGACTTTTAAACCCTACTAAGACATTTTCATTATTTCTTCTCTTGTTATTAAAAGAATGGCAAGAAAACAGGTAAGAATCTCCAACTATTCTTAATTTGTATCAATTTTTATACAAGTACAATATTTTGGTTGAAAACACATTTTGAGGATTGAGAATATAGTTTCAAATATTTTTTTCCAAAAACATGTTCTAAAAATTGGGTTTTAGAATATATTTTTGAAATTATTTTATCTCGAAAATGTGTTCGAACCCACTAATTTGGAATGCATTTCCAGAAAATCAACTCCGAAATATATTCCAGAAAGTGATTTTTGGAATATATTTTCATAATTAATTTTCTAAAAATGCATTCCGGATCGATGGATCTGGATATACTTTTGGATTGAAGATTTTGGAAGTGTATTTTGGACCCACTAGTTCCAAAAATTATTTCTAAAAAATCAAGTTTAAAACCCACTTTCTAGAAGATTTTTTCTTAAATGTTTTTTTGAAATACAATTTTTGGAACTTGTTTTTGGAAAATATTTTTCATAAATGTTATTTTGGATCGACCTTTCATAATGTGTTTTTGGGATATCAAATCCGAAAATTATATTCTAGAAATGCATTATAAATATGATGTTTTAGGACTTAATTTGATTTTCGTAAAACTATTCTAGATTGAGAATTTGTGTCTTAATATACAATTTCAGTGCAATAACATGTAAAAGATACGTATTATTAACGATTATTTATCTTTGTGTTAAAAATGATCTTGTAGTAGATACATATATTAACGATTATTTATCTTTATGTGTTAAAAATGATCTTGAAGGAGAATGATAACAAAAAACCTAAATCTATATGTTTATGAAGATGTAGAAGATAAATAATGGAGGTGCAGAACTTTCACACGAGAGTTGAAGAAGGAGTTTGAATTTGAAACAAAAATTATTAAAAAAGTATTATAGTTATTTTACTTATGGTATGGAGATAAAGAAAGAAAAATATGGGGGGTGAAGGAGAAACCCTAGAGCAAAGCGGCCCAAGACAGCCCATCAGCATAGGACAAAGCCTTTTCTGCAGCCCAACAACAAAGGACAAAAGAAAACGAGCAAATAATGTAGTTCAGGAATAGCTGGCAAAACCACGAAAACCCTTTTAATTCTTGGCTTTCTCTATTTTCTTCGTTCTCGCGCTGCAACAAAAAAACATATTACAAACCCTTAAGCCGTTACCCACCTGCGACGCCGCTGAGGTTTGATATTGGTTTGATTTGTTGAAGTTGAAGTTGAAGGTGATGGAGATGGAGATGGAGATTGAAGGTGAGAAACAGCACAAGTTCGATGTAGACCTGGGCAACCTCATGGCTTTCGACTCCAATCACACCTTCCCCTCTCAACCACCTCTTTCCAGGCACTTATTATTATTCTTCTTCTTTAGGGTTTTTCCGTATTTTTTTTTTTTTACACTTCCCTTGCTTACGTTAATTGAACACAGAGAGGACCTCGTCAAGCAGTGTTTACTCAAAGGCACTCACTTGGTTCAAGCTATCGCAGATGCCCTCTTCACCTCACCATCAACCGAAGACGTAGATGGTCCCCTTGTTAACTTGCCTCCGCCACTAACTAAATTGCCTAGAGAAAAACATGTAATCCCAACTCCAATCCCTTATTCTTCTTTTAATTTCAAAGGTCATGTAATCTATTAATTATTACTTGTTACTTTAATTCTCGTAACCCTATTCCTTATTCCTATTTTATTGCAACTTTCCAAGGGATAAATAAAAGGCTCTTCCTCCATTTATGTGTGTGCATGGCAATTGGCTGTGAATTTGCATTGATTCTATGTTGGTTTTTTGCTTCTAGTATTTTTTTTCCTTCTATGTATAATCAGTCAAGTCACTGGCTCATCGATTTTTGTGACGCTGTCAGCTGCCGAAACCTAAGCCTCCTACTAAATGGGAAGTTTTTGCCAAAAAGAAAGGTTTGTCTATTCATGCTGTACATGTGACTCTCATATAATCTTAATGCTGTGTATGTTCCCTAACTTTTACTAGTTGAACTGATGAGTTTTACCCTGTGTTCTTTGTAGGCATAAAAAATCGGAAGAAGGACAAGATTGTGTATGATGAACAATCTGGAACCTGGAAACGCAGATATGGGTATGATCGTGCAAATGATGAAGATGCTGTACCTATCATTGAGGCAAAAGAAACTGACGGTAAATGATTGAACATCCCTTTCCTCATGAACTGCTACTAAGTTTCTCTTAACGGTCATGAATAAGGTGTAGGCTGTAGACTCTCTTAATGTTGTCACTGTTGGGCACTAACAAAACTACTTCTTACACATGTTCAGAATAGGATAAAATTTTAACATAAGTTGATTCGTGGCAGACCTGCATAAGGTTTGTGTACTCAAAACAGTTCTAATGAGAAAAGAATCTGATTCAGAAAACCGTTGACCCTTTAGATGATCCAGATTGCACAATGGAAACATTTAGATATATGAGGGTGTGCTCAATGCTTAATCAAAACATATGATTACGATTGTGGGTTATCAGAGCATTAAACCGGGCATCTATTTAATGGAGGATTTTACTTTCCTACCATTTATTGGCATATTATTTTTGGATATGAAAATTCTTGCACATGATGATCTGGAAGTGAGATGGTATTTATATGCCTATACTTACTGTTAAGGTTTTGGTATTTATATGCCTATATACATAGATATTTATGTAAACCTCTTATGTTTATGTAAGCCTCTTATGTTAATGCTATTATCTTTTGACCTTAAAATTTTCATCTTTTTCTGAGTATATACTTGTAACTCATATTTTCTTGGTATGTTTCTGTACACTTATCAGAGCAATATGTATAGCATATCAATAATGATACTGTAACATTTTGCAGATCCAGAAGAGGATCCTTTTGCCAAAAGAAAAGAAAATAAGAAGAAAAGAGTAGAAAAGCAGGAGAAAAATCGATTACAGAACTTGAAAGAAGCAGCTAAATTTGGTGCTTTACCAAGGTTTGTAACATACCTCCTTCCAATTAACCCTGAAGATTTTGTGGCATGGGAATTCTATTTGTTAGCGTTCACTAGAGTATACATCACTGGCTTATAGTTGTGGGCATAATTTATTTTGATTTCATTGCTGAAATCAACACTGAGGTGGTAGCTGACCTTAGCCTTGTATTTGGCCATTTAAGCTGCATATCACACCTTGGGCAGTTGGGTCATTGCCTACTTTCTTTTCTCAAAGTCTTTACAGTTTCTTATGCTAAAATTGACAAAACCATGTAGTTTCTTTTTGTACTATTGTCTTGAATTTATTTGTTAGGGCATCTCCATTGTGAGGTGCCAAATAAAGTAAAACCTCCTTTGTACCTGTATTTCAATTAGAACTGGTTGCTTATTTTTTTAAGTGGGACCATGTCAGTTTTTATTTTAAAAATATATAATATATTTTTATTTGTGCTTTATATCTTGTTATTGATAAAATGAGATTATTAGTGGGATCCATTTTAAAAAAAAATTGAGGTGCTGGATTGGGGAGCGTGGATGGTTAAAGTGAAGAAGGTAAAAATAGATAATCTGTACAAGTGGAACCATTTAGAAATCTTAGGAAGAGATGCTGGGTAAGAAAGAGACTTACATGCTCCAATTTTTACTTGGTGGGGGTATATATGATATTCTCAATTGAAAATCTTACCCTTAGTGTCATCTCAACTTCATTTGTACCTTTGATTATATATGTCTGACTTTTCTCCACGTGGTAATTTCCCCAACTTTGGGTGCATTGATTAATGTAGAGGCCACTATGGTGACTCAAAAATGTGTTGACTACTTTGTTTTAGAGTTTTGACCTGGTGTTTCTTGTTTTCTTATATATATATATATATATATATATATATATATATATATATATATATATATATATATATATATATCCTCTGTTATTCATGCTATGATCTTTATTGTTATGAAATCTGAAGAAATTATTATGCAGCCATGTTCAGTTGGCAGCTACAGCTTTGCCTATAACAGGAACTCAGGCAGCACCCAAAAAAGTTACAAAAGATGAACTCGGTAATGTAGCAGGAATTGCTGCAGCTGCAACGGCCAGTGGTGGGAAATTTGATAAGAAATTGCTGGGTGAAAAGCCTGCAAAACATGCAGGAAAATATCGGAAGGTTGTGCATCGTACTCGCGGATAAATGTTTCTCGTAGCCATGTAAATTGTTATATGTATAAGCAGCCATTTTTAACTAAATTGACTTGTTAACTTCCATTGTTTTGTTTTCATCTAGTTCCTGCCAGTGGTGGAAGGAACCGGGATAGGATCACAAGAGAGGGAGCAAACAGAAAAAATATTGAACAAGATCATCTCCAAGAATTCTCATAACATACTAAACGTTGAAAAGGTACTGTAGAGGCATTTAGTGATTTAGATTTCCTATTTGCCAAGTTTTATAAATTGTTTATTTTAAATGGCGCTCTCTGAATTCTAGGCCGTCACAATGCACAATGTGAAGAAAGAGAAGAAGCGAAGAAGCGAAAAAGGGAAGGTTTCACCAACTGACAACAAATTGAAAACTGGGAAAAAGTCTTTTAAAAAGGGAAATTTCAAGAAAGGCAAGGCGAAAGGGAAATAGTTTAGCTTTAATTAAAAACGTTTTGTAGAGTTCTTGGAAACTCTGTATACCGGTTTCTAGTTTTGTAGACTAATTTCATTTATCAATTGCTATCTTCTTTATTTACTATCTATGTATAATTAAATTAGATCTTTTAACTCAAAACTTTTAATTTATCAAATCAACGACTAGACGCGCGACGGGCATATTCACTCTGTACCTTTTCTGTTTAGAAATCGTGAGCAAGAGTTCCTAGAGCCAGAGATCTATCAGCTCTTTATTAATCACGCGGTTGTGAAGAAAGCAACAGATATTTTCTCATGCGTAACTTGTCATTTGCATTCGGGGGTTGGTGAAGACCAAGAGCCCTTCAGTACATAAACTATTATATGCTTCTTATGCGGCAAAAAACACTTCAGCAGATAACTTGTGGACAAATATAAGTCGTGACTGACGAGTGTACCTGTTTTGTTGTCTGCTAAATAAATCTATTTTATCCAACTTGTGTGGCCAAAGACGACCTTAATCCAACAGAGGAAAATATGTGGATAATTCGGTTTATTCAACAAAAATTATTCAGAATTTGCTTCGGTCTCTCAGACGAGTAAAGCATAGCTTTCCAAATTACACCACTCTTTTCTACTTTATCTTCATTGCCAAGACAGAGAAAGAGATAGAGACTGAATTTATAGCTTAGGCAAAATTCTCCACCCAACGAAAATTCTCGACTTTACCTTTATTCATATTTTGTGTGGTTTTGTCTTCGTTGTTCTCGTTGAATTGAATTATTTGTTCTCAGCTAACTTGGTGTATATCATCTCTTAAATTAGTATATTCTTGCATTCCCGTTTGTTCTTAATAATCTCTTTCCGTATAAAACTTTCAAAGATTTTTAAACAGAAAAGCAGTTCCATATATTGGTATTGAAAAATTAGGATTCATGGGTAGGGATAGGTTGCAAGTGCAAGGTGCTGAATTGAGTAACAAATATCTAACAATATGTAGTTCCGGAATCAAGTTTGAATGGGATTCTCTTGAGGGTAAAGTTCGTCCCACTAGCTTCTTTGCAAGCGTTGGTCAAGCAGGATTTGGTTTTGGGATGTCACCAAATCCTCCAGCTGCCACTACTAGAGACAGTGGCACCAAACCATCCTTGGTCAATTCTTCAATGAAATATGTTTTAATGCCTGAAGCTGGTCTTCGAAGCACGGGTCTTGAAGGGTTATTGAGTGGCGAGGCAGTTGAAGTTGATGAGGAAGGCCATGGAATGAAGAAGGAAACCAAGGTGAAGGGGTTTAAATTGAAAGTTAAGATTGGGAATCCATCATTGAGAAGGCTGATGAGTGGGGCAATTGCTGGTGCAGTGTCAAGGACAGCCGTGGCACCGTTGGAGACCATAAGGACCCATTTGATGGTGGGAAGCTGTGGACACAGTTCACTTCAAGTGTTTCAATCTATTATGGAGACCGATGGATGGAAGGGCCTGTTCAGAGGCAATTTTGTGAACATCATCCGAGTTGCGCCAAGCAAGGCCATTGAGGTGAGTGCAGACATCATGGTTTTTAATACTCTATTCTATACCATCATAGATTTGAGTTTTTTTTTTTTTTATCTCACTTCTCCATTATTTAGAATGACTTGATTCGTTGTTTTTTCAATCCACGAAAAGAACAAATTATGTCCTAGATAGCTGGAAGATGACTAAGGAATGGACATGGACCATTATGGACCTATGGTGTGTTACACACACACACACTCACACACAAGATGACATAGCTTTTATTTCTGAAATAATTAGGGTTCCCCTATACCCTGTTTCTTCGGAGTTATCCTTTTCCCTTTCTTGCTTCAACTATTTTATCAATATACATATTTAGATGGGTGTGTATTTTTGCATATTGTTGGCTGAATGACAGAGTATAATTATATATCAATACAACTTGCTAAACTCCATCAGTAAATTTTGCAATCTAAATTCATTACACACATGAATGCACTAAGGACATCTTGTGGAACATGCAGTTATTTGCGTATGACACTGTCAAAAAGCAACTATTTCCTAAACCTGGTGAACAGCCCAAGATCCCAATTCCTGCCTCATTAATTGCAGGCGCTGTTGCTGGTGTTAGCTCTACCCTATGTACATACCCTCTTGAACTACTCAAAACTCGTCTCACTGTCCAGGTTTGCACTTACAGCTCTCTAATGATCTCGCTCTCATTTATGCTCAAAGCGTTGTAAATTTATGCCAATATTTAAAAAATTGCAGAGAGGGGTGTACAAGAACTTACTAGATGCATTTGTGAGAATTATTGAAGAGGAAGGTCCCTCAGAACTGTACAGGGGCCTCACTCCTAGTCTAATTGGTGTGATCCCTTATGCTGCAACAAACTATTTTGCTTACGACACACTCAGAAAAGTCTACAAGAAAGCCTTCAATAAGGAGGACATAGGGAATGTGATGACTCTTCTAATTGGATCAGCTGCTGGTGCATTTTCAAGCAGTGCAACATTTCCACTTGAGGTGGCTCGTAAGCATATGCAAGCAGGGGCTCTAAATGGAAGACAGTATGGTAACATGCTTCATGCCCTAATCAGTATACTTCAAAAGGAAGGACCTGCAGGTCTTTACAGAGGTTTGGGACCAAGCTGCTTAAAATTGGTTCCTGCTGCTGGCATTTCTTTCATGTGCTACGAAGCTTGCAAGAGGATACTTGTTGAAAACGAACAAGATTAGAACAAGAGGATACTTTGTTTAGGAATCGGGAAATAATTTGTTCTGCAGATTTTGCTTTTCCCCGCATATTAATTTTTTTCATTTCAACTTCTTTGAAGTTGTGTTCATTTTCTTCTTAGGAAAAAGTTGTATTCATTACACTTATTGCGCAGTCATTGCGCTTCATATTTTGTCTTTGGTCTTGGCACGGCAAAACCTCCAAAGTGCTTCTTTCAATATTGAAAAAATAGAATTTATCGACACTAGTTTTTGCGTTGAATGTGAGAATCACGTGATTTTGGTTTTAAACTTTTCAATAACCAAACGCGCTTATAAACAACGAAAACAATATATGTTGCATGGAATGAAAAAGTGAACATGGGCATGTTGATGCTGTGTGTAGGTAAACCACGTGATTTTTTTTTTTTTTTTTCAATTTCTATTACTGAAGGAAACTACCCAATATAATACCAACTCAACAACTATAATAAATTATTTAAATAGCTTGGCGCTTATACATAGTTACTGTAAAATAGTTTATATTATCGTTTAATCATAAATAATTAATAACGTGAAGTTTAAAATGATTATTATGAAAATCAGTAAATATTTGATTTCATAGTTCAACATTTCTTTCATTGACTATTCAATCACCAATTCAATTTTAAAATATCTGTAAAAATTAAATTCGTCTCAAAGTAAGTCTCTAAAGTAAAGACTAAAGGGACCTTCTCTTAGCTCTCCATTAAAATTTAATTTGTAAATGTCAAAGAAAAATATAAATTTAACTATTAAATATTATTTGTTATTTAATTTTTTAATATGAATATACAATTATATATATATATATATATATATATATATATATATTTTATATCGTAGATTATTTGAAAAGTTGTATTACTCGTTTTAGTTTCATTTATTTTGATTTTTAAAAGATGAAATAAATTTCATAAAAATGTTTTTTTATTAAACGGAAGTGATAACATCTGTTACACATTGAGCTAAAAACTATCTCCTTTAAAAATAATTATTTTTTATATTTTTATTTCTTATATATATTTTATATATATATATATATATAATTTATATTGTTATTCACTTTTCATTTAAACATATTTTATGATATGTAATTTACTTAAGAAATTTTATTTGAATTAAAATAAATTTGAGTTTTTCTAAATGTTAATTTGATAAGATAATTTTCTTATTCATGATATCTATGAATATTTGTAGGTAAAAAAAATATGTAAATATTTTTCTAAATGATATCTATAGAGTAATTGAATAGTTTTTTAAACTATTGATATTTGTAGTTATCTTATCCAAGTTGCGAATGAATTTAATTAAATTAGGTATACTCTAATTAAAAAATTATAATAGATAAAGTCTCTTAATACACTTGTAACAAGTAAAAAGAGAGATTAGTTATATAGATATTTATAAGTCAGTTTTTTTTTATCAATTTTAATGTAAATAATTACCTTTTAAATATAATATAATATAATATTATATACAATTAAATAATTAACTAAATTATTTGTTTATTATTATTATAATAATAAGTATTTAAATGAATTAATTAAAGAAATAATTTCATAATAAATGTAATAAACATGAAAACGTGGGATGTTTAAGATATACTAAAATTATTTACTATTAAACTCTTAGATTAATATTATTTAAAATTTAAAATTTTTAAAAAGTATTATGAAAATTAATGAATTATAAGAAAGAATATTCAATTATAAAATTTGTCTAATCCTTAAAATTTTATAGAAACAGACGGTGAAAACAACTTAGTGATTAAGATAAACTATAACAGAAGTACATAAAAAAAATATAGAAAAAAATTCATATCATATTAAAAAAATAAAAATAAAAGCTAAATTTAATAAGATATGTCAAAAAGATAAAGCAAATCAAATTTAAGTTATTTGATAAAAGACTACTAAATATTTAAAAATTAAGTGAAAAGAGATAAAACTTGGACTACAACATTGTTTAACTTATTATATTTATGAAGCATACTTTTGCATGGCAAAAAGATGGATAGTTAATAATAAGAGTATAAATTATTAATTGTTTGGTGGTAATATTTATTATGGATTAAATTTTCGTTGTAACATTCATTAGCAATTCTCAAGGTAAGTATTAAAAAAAATATAACAAAATTATCATGGAAGAATTTAGACAAGGAAACTTTAATTGAAATTTGTAACATTTTCTTTTATTCAAAAGAATAAAATTTAATCTTAAATGAAATTGAATTGAATAGTAAAGGGTTTACTGGCTGATTTCCTGTTGTCATTGTACTCATAATTTGGTCAACACACTGTCCAAATTTATAAAAGTAATATAAAAATAATTAAAAAAAAAATTCAGAACCCACCCACTAGAAACTAACATAAAACAATGATTGAAATGGTATACAGTAATGATTAGAACAGAACTAACACTGGACAGTAAAACAAAATACATCCTTGATAATAATATATTGTATTATAAGCAGAGGGTAAACAAAATAAAGTCTAGCATAATTTGAAACAAATATTTGCTACCAAAATAGCTATCAACTTCTCTAATATCAGTGTCACCAGGCTATATATTGTTATATGAAAAGTAAACCCTCCAAAAAAAAAAAGTGCAACTACCAACTATACAAGTCTAATCCCATCCAGTGGCAACAATAGATGCATAACCACTAGGCCCCTCTTCACCAACCCTAACACCTCCACACAATTCACTAGAGTTAACATCACTTTGATTATAAGTGCATCCTATATTCAAGGAGTCAAAAGAGGAATCTATATGGGAGTTTTGCAGGTCGCAGGAGGAGGTATCAACGAATGGGGTAGCAGTGTAAGACTCCGCAGCAAGATCGGTATTGCCATGGGAACCGTGACAGTTGTAATTCTGCACTTCCGTGGGATTTCGAAAATCACGACCTCCGTAGCTACCACTGCTGTAACGCTGTGATACATAACCTCGACTGCGGCCCCCAAATGAGGAACACTCAGCAAACTGGTTGAGCCAAGAAGGAACTTCTTGGTTTGCCTCCTGCAAGAGACCAACAAGAGCCTTTGCCATTGGACTGTTCTTGTCGCTGAAGAAAGCAGTAGCTAATCCAGATTTCCCTGCACGGCCTGTTCGTCCAATTCTATGAACATAGTCATCAATGTCTCTTGGCAAGTCAAAGTTTATGACATGAGCCACATGCGGGATATCCAATCCCCTAGAAGCAACATCAGTTGCAACCAGAATGGGAGTCATTCCAGATTTAAAAGATCTTAAAGCCCGTTCCCGTTCCTAAAAATTGAAACAAGAATCCTTCTCATTCAATGAATAATATCTCACTACGACAAACATAGGATAAAATGAACGTTCAAAAGCTGAAACTGTAAAGAACAGAGCAAAACTACGCTGATATCCCTTTCTTTATAACGGAAAGGGATGTTACGTGTTCCTAGGGTACGAAGTCTTAAAGCAGTGAATTAGGAATTATGAGCCAACAAGTTAAGGTATTGAAGGTTAGTGTAATTGTGAGCAATAAAACCAACCCAATGCGACATGGCACAAAAGGTCAGACCTGAAGAACCAAAGCATAAAATAAAAGGCAGAAGAGCTGACCAATTGAACTTTGTCTCCGTGTATGGCAATAGCTGGAAAGCCACTTTTCGACAACCAGTTTTCTAAGGCGTCTGCTCCTCTTTTTGTTTCAACAAATACAAGAGTTAAAGCATGCTGCGTTACAGAAAACAGATAATTAAATCAACTATCCAACAAACAGCACATACAAACCAATTGTCAAACGAGTATACACACTTCCACCATCCCATTGGTCCCATGCACCTTTTGCCGACGAAGATGATCAACAAGTTGGTCTCTTTTGTCAGTATCCTGTACAAGCTCAATCTTCTGCACAATCAGTTCAGTACTCGATCCGACTCTCCCCACAGACAGGAATATGTAGTCCGACAAAAAGTCGGATGCTAGCTTCTGCGTCATCAATGAAACACTACATCAACGGGGTAACACACAAGAAACAGTAATAAAATATTACAATGAAGAATGAAAAACGCACCATTACGAATATAAACAAAAAATAAAGCAGGGTAACCCAATACCTAACATACCTGTATATCATTAGGGAACGTTGCACTAAACAACAATGTCTGCCTACTACCTGGCGGTGGCATGTGCATTTTGTCTACAATCTTGCGTATTTGATGTTCAAAACCCATGTCCAGCATGCGATCAGCTTCGTCTAACGCAAGGTACTTTATTCTCTTCAACGAAACCCTATCCCTCTCAATAATATCCACCAAACGCCCAGGAGTGGCAACCAGTAAGTCAACACCCTTCTCTAAAAGGCGCAGCTTTTGCCATTTTTAAACAATAAAATGCACAATCAATAACTAAATCATTCATTCAAAAAACACAGGACACCAACTGCAAGTCAAAGAGCTCAAACCTGCTGACTGACAGGAGAACCACCATAGGCAACAACAACCTTCACTCCAGTTTGATATGCAAATTTGTTCGCTTCATCACGTATCTAGCAAAAAAACTTATATCTTAAATATACAAAAAAATGAAAATACAATATTTAAGCAGTTATTATTATTTATTCGTGTTCTACAAACAAACCCAGACCACATGGAACACCAGAGAGCAAAATAAAGAAACCTGGCACGACAACTCCCTCGTAGGAGACAAAATAAGCGCAGTGGGGTACGCAACACCAGCACCACGAGACACAGGCGAGAACCCAGAAGAAGAACGACCCTTCAAAATCCCAGATATGATAGGAAAGCAAAACGCCGCCGTTTTCCCCGACCCAGTCTGTGCGCAAGCCATAAGGTCACGGCCAGCGGTGGCTATGGGAATCGCGTAACGTTGAACGGGCGTGGGCTTCACGTACTTGCATCGCTTGATGTTCTTCTTCAAGCCTTCGTCCAAGTCCGTATCGTCGAAGACGTTCACCGGCGGAGGCACGTTCTTGCCACTGGCCTCCACCGGGACCGATTCGTACGCATCGAAATTAATACCGTCGCCGTTTTGTGGTTCCTCCACCACGGGGAACCGGGAGTTCCGGTAAGAAGGCTGGCGAGGGCGAGGGATTCCTCGACCGCCGGAGCCACCACGGCCAGCGCCGCGTGGCAACCCTCCACCGGCAGCAAGGCCAAAGCCGTGCTGCGTGGAATCGTCGGAGGAAGGTGGAATGTTGTTAGAATGGTGATGCGGAGGGACATAGGGGGAAGCAAAAGACCATGGCATGGTGAAAATGGTGAGTGGGGATGGTAGTTGGTTGGAAATAGTAGTGAAGAAAAAGAGAGAAGAAGAAAGAGAGTGAAGGGAGGAAGAAGAAGAGTTGTGGCAGTAGGAATGATAGCAACAAGGAAATGGAGAGAGGGATGACTTTTTATATAGCAGAGAAGCTCTGAAAACGACGGGTCAAGTGCAGAGGAGAAAGACATTGAGAGAGGGAGAAGAGGGGTGGGGCCCAGTTGTGGTGACGTGGGAAGGAGAAATCGTGCAGAATCATGGGTCACGTGAAATATCTTTTCCATAGTGGGACCAGGTGGGCACGTGTCGGAAGGGGATTTGGGGAAAAGCTGGTAGAAATTGGGGGTGGGTATTTGCAGGGTCTGAGCATGAAATAAATGTTGGCGTGGTGGGGGAGGGGATGTATCGCAACCCCCAACCAACGCATGACTATTATTCGTAACGATATGCGGCGCCTGATTTGGAGTACCCCTGCCACACCTAGCCTTGTCTTGTGCTGTTTCCTGTTTCCTTTTCTTCCTTCCTTCTTCCTTCTTCCTTCCTTCTTCCTTCTTCTCAAACCCAATCCTTGTTTTCTCTCTTCACTCAACACCTTTCTTTCCATCTTCTCTTCTCTTTCTCTCTATCTCTAATTTCATCTTTCTTATCTTCTCTTAATCACATTTTATAATCTATTCAAGAGCTTCTTTTAAATCTATATTTTATCTTTCTGCTTAATATCTATCACCTAATCACTCACCACCCATATTTATCTATATTTTGTAATTACTATATTAGTTTAGTCGGTTCTTACCATAAAATACCATGTCTTAACATTTTGTTTCCTAACTTTTATATGATTTTATCGTTCTTAGTGAAATTTTACTCTTCACAAACAATATATATCGGTATTTAATATCAATTATCTACTTTATTTATAATTTATTTATATAAAACATGGTTGAAACATGTTATGGAATACTGCATTATTATTTATAAACTAGTTTTTATTTGTTTGTATTCATAAAAGTACATTATAATAATATTTACTTAATAATTTTGATTCATCTTAAGATTAAACAGGTCTCTTATATGTGAAAATATCATAATTTTGTTTTCGATTTCATAATTATTAAAATTGGTATGATTAATCATAACCATAATATTATAAGTGAAATTAGTTTATAACTTAATAATTATTTAAAATGATAAGACTACAAATATACTTACTTAATATTAACAATATCAAAATTAATTTTAGTTATAAAAATAATTATTATTTTAATATCACTAAAAATTTTGTATTATTTAAGAACTAAGTTAAATGATATTTCTATACCTTTTTTCTTTTAAATTATCCAGATATTTTTTAAAATTAAAAATTTGAATATGATTAAATTTAAATTTAAAATAAATAAAATCTTGACAAATAATTTAATAATATTAATTTAATAAATTTAAATATGAAGTAAAATATAAATAAGATAAAATTTAATTATATTGAATAACGGTAAAATTTACATTTTAATCCATATTTACAAGAGTTTAAAATTAATTTAAAAATAATTTAAAATATAAGTATGAATAAAATAAAATAAAAATTTATATAAACTATTATTTAAACATGTTAATTTTTGTCATATTATTTTTTTTTCTGTTGATTTTGTGAGGGTCTTGTCTTCAACCTGGAATAGGTATCAAATTATTAACCATTAAATGAGGTTAGATATGATAATACTAATCTAATGAATTCTGAACACTAAAAAAATATATATATATATATATATATATATATATATATAAGAAAATCAGATAAATGATATGTTAAATAAATAGTAATTATATAAAAACATTAATTTCGTACATGTATAAAATAAAACATTATTAAGAAAGAATTTAAAAAAATAATGATATTTATATAGTTTAAGATTCACACATATCTCCCTCTACTACTTTCATTTAATAAATAATACTAATAAATATATAAATTTAATATTATATTAATAAATAAAGTTGTTGAATGATTATATTTATAAAAATAATTGTTTTAAAGAATTAACTATACTTTTTCTGTCTCTAATTTTTCTTTAAATTTTGTATTTTTAATCTCTAAACAAAATTTTGACTAACCTTAATTCTTTAAGTATCTTTTCATTTTTGTTTTAGTTTAAGTATGTGTTATTACTTTTCTATTTCATTTGTGATAAATTATTGTTAAATGGTTTAAAAAAAAACTAATGTGTTTAAAAGAATACTAAATAATTTATTTCATAAATATTTATTACACAATTACGGCTTAATGTGGAACCATTTACAAAGTATTCAAATTCATTTTTTTTAAGGGGAAACTCTTATATTAATTTTTTCCAAGTCTTTTACCAACCAAAGAAAATAATTTATCAAAATATTAGAAAAGATAATTGTAGCACAAATATTGTCATTTATCAACAAATTAATTATCCAAACAAATTATTAGCCATCAATGACAGAATTATTAATGATTATTTTGTTATATGCATAAATTAATGAGTAGTTTAGAATAGCTTATCTACAATTTTAAAATTTGGTCACTAATGATATATATAAAAACTCAAAGTAAATGATAGTTTATATTATTTTTTAATTATTATAATGAACTCTTTTATTTAACTTATGCAAACAGATTAGATATAAATAGTTTAATACTATTTCCCCTTCCACTATACAAACAATTTATTTAATTTTTATTCAATTACATATGTAATGAGTTTTCGTTAAGCTGCTTATTCAAATATAGCTTTAAGGCAATGATTTTACATTATTTTTGAAAAAAAAGATGTTATGGCATTAATTAAGAGAATCACATTTTGAACGTATTAAAGCATAAGAAATAGACATAGAAGGTGCATCATCTTTTTGTGATATTCCATGCAATGAGATAATTTTATGGAACTTTTGTCATGTTCTTTGAGTACTACGACTAACAGTCACATCTAATACGTGTTACATGCATGCTTCACTGTAAGATCATTTGTGAGGCTTTATTTGGAGCCATTAAGTGAGGCTTTATTTTCCCGCTCAAAGCAATTTGTGGTAAAATAAACACTTATTCCCTTAGAACCACGTGGAGCCAAGCAAATTGCATGCAAGTCCACCCGAGTAAGCATTTGAGGGACCGAAATTCTCAGAAAACTAACTCCCGTAATTGGAGGCATGCAGGAGTCAACTCTTAAAGAATTTAGGAAATATTTAAATGGGTGGTTGATTAAAAAGATTCTATTTAAATTTTTGTCTGAAACTTGTAAAGTATTTGAATATCTTTGGGGACATTGGACTTATATTTACATTTGAGCAAAAAATAATTATTTCTAATAAACTCTTTATCTTTCTTAATTGTTTGTGAGTAGGTGAAATGGTGTTGCGTGGGTTGACGTGTCAAGATGATGATGATACACGTGATTTTGACTATTGTGACATATTTGGTAGTTGAGAACAGCAATGGTTGGGCGGTTAAGTTTCCACTGTTGAGCAGTCAACCACCAAGGTGAACATGGATCACTGCAGAACAAAATCATGGGAGAATCAGAATTACTTTAGCCCCTGTTTGTTTGAACTGATTTGCGACGAAATACTGTTCATAAAGATAGAAATACGAGATTCACCCACGTTTGGTTGAACTGATTTGCGACGAAATGCAGGTGAGGAAAAGGGAGAGATGAGAGAGAGAGTTTCTTCGCTGAGGTGCGAAGAAAAGAGATGAAAGTAATGAAAAGTCGCTATTACCCTGCAATATATGATAGTGGTTAAATCTTAACCGCTATTATAACAGCACTTGTAATAGCGGTTAAAACTTAACCGCTATTATATATCACTTCTATTAGCGGTTAAAACATAACCGCTATTATATATCACTTCTAATAGCGGTTAAATCTTAAACGCTAATATATATCACTTAAGATAGCGCTTACAGAGGAACCGCTATTATATCCTCCAATATTTCGCTCGAGCGAGACATAGTCGCTCAAGCGAAACACAACCCGAGACTGAAGAAATTAAAATATGGTTGTATATGATAGCGGTTCCACTGGAACCGCTATCTAATATACACTTTAGATAAGCGATTCTGAGAAACCGCTATTATATCCTCCAATTATGATCGATCATTACCTAAATCTAATCGATCAGAATCATATTTCGCTCGAGCGAGATATAGTCGCTCAAGCGAAACACAACCCGAGACTGAAGAAATTAAAAATTTGGTTGTATATGATAGCGGTTCCACTTGGAACCGCTATCTAATATACACTTTAGATAAGCGATTCTGAGAGGAACCGCTATTATATCCTCCAGTTATGATCGATCATTTCAAATTATGATCGATCAGTATCGATTTTCGCTCGAGCGAGATATAGTCGCTCGAGCGAAATGCAACCCGAGACTCGAATCTTAAAATATTTTTTTGAATATTATGTTTTTAAATTTGCTATTAGAGAAAACCTTTCAGAATTCAAAATGTTAAATATTTTTAAATATTAAAATTAACTTTATCAAAAATTAGGAAAACAAAATTTATCCAAAAGAGTTCAAAAATGTATAAGAGTATTCTCAATTTTGAGTTTAATTATATTGTTCATTCTCAAAGTAGAAATTTATATTGTAGTTATTTAATTTACATTTTGTGATCTTCTTAAAATTAGCATCAATAACATTAGACTTTACATTTGATTCATACCTAACTAATTATAGATTAAAAGGAAAGTGGTATAACCATGCATTTTACTTTTCTATTTACCTTATTCTTTTAATTATTTTATATAATAATAATCAAAATATTCACATGAATATGGGCATTTTCCAAAATAATATTATTGTATTATTGTTAAAATTAGCATCAATAACATTACACTTGATCTTCTTAATTATATTGTTCATTCTCAAATTAGAAAATTATATTGTAATTATCTTTAATTTATTAAAAGTGTAATTAAATCTCTATTTTCTTAATTTTTTTTGTTTCAAACTTCTCAATGCTACATTTTTGTAACTTCTATCATTATATTATCATCCTCATCTCCTCCCATGTTCTACTTTATCTTTACAATAGTTAATATTCTTAAATAATCTATATTTTTAATTATAATTTTTTAATATATATTTCAGAAATTAATCAATTCTAAGCTATTATTTGAAAAACTAATCAATTCTAATCAATAATTTAGAAAAATAATCGATTAGAATTAATTATTTGAAAAAATTATGAAATATGATCGATCATTTCAAAAATCTAATCGATCAGAATCATATTTCGCTTCGAGCGAGATATAGTCGCTCAAGCGAAACACAACCCGAGACTCAAGAAATTAAAATATGGTTGTATATGATAGCGGTTCCACTGGAACCGCTATCTAATATGCACTTTAGATAGCGGTTACAGAGGAACCGCTATTATATCCTCCAATTATGATCGATCATTTCAACTTATGATCGATCAGGATCGTATTTCGCTCGAGCGAGATATAGTCGCTCGAGCGAAATACGGCTTATGAGCTCACGCTTTGAGAGTTGCTTGTAGCCTACCTAAGCTCCGCTTTTTCAGTTCAATCCAATCGACGAGTGGGATTAGAGAGCAAGCTGTTCAAAGTTTGTTTTAATCTGTTGAAATAGCCGTTATAATCTGTTAAAAGTCCTTTCAACCCATTAATGCGTTCTTGTTCTTTAACAGAATTGTTTTAGCTGATACGACCAAGTTTTTATCAGTTAAAACTTTTTACAAATATTTTCTAAGAGTGATTTAATCGATTGATTCGCGGTTTAATCGATTGATTCAGTTTAAAACTTTCTTATAACACTTTTCAAGTTATTTTAACTGATACAAAGAAGTTTTCATCGATTGAAACCCTGCACAAAATTTTTTCTAAGTCATTTTAATCGGATTCGTCACCTGAAGTACGCGAGTTTACAAAATGGACTGATGACATGGACTTTCGGTTGCTGACTGCTATGCTTGATGAGGCAAGGTTGGGTAATCGGGTTGATGGTAGTTGGACAACCCAAGCATATAAGAATATAGTTGAATCCCTAAGACAGATCAATATTAATTATTATTTTATATTTTATAATTATTTAATTATTAGTCAAATAATTTATTTAATATGTCAACATTATTTGAATATGGATATGCAATGTACATAATTTTGTAATTGTTTATTTATATAATTTTTAATAACTATCTAAAAAAAGTTAATTTTTTAAATTTGTTTCCAATTACAAACACTTTTAAATTTGTTTTTTCTTTTAAATATATAATCAACGTTAAAATATGGATAATTAATTAAAAAATTATATTTATAATCATTTGAACCTTATTTGATACAAAGGGTAAAATGGTCATTTTCTTAAATAATAAACATAAAATTATAATTTTTATATCTCATATCAATCAAATCATTCACAATTTCCCATAAACTTTCCTTTCACTTTTCAATCATCTCCATTTCTCTTCAAATCCCTCCTTTTCCACTCTCTCATTTCCACTCTCTCAAATCACTCCATCCAAACAAAGCGTTAGTGAAAAATCAACTTTATATATCTGTATCTTTTTTCATATTACTGGTTTGCATTATAGGCTCTTCTACTTCTTTTATTCCTTTCTTTTTAAATGCAGTTACTAAAATTTGAATGAAGGTATCATTATTTTAGGCATTACATCTAACCTGACAGACAAGACAAGGTAGGTTGGTAATCATGGTGAAAAAGTATACGAAATGGTATTTAATTTTTGTTTCTATATAAGCAATACTCTCAAAAGTGGGCACCGAAATTCTACTAATTATGAATCCGTTTATATTATTTACTATGAGGTCGTGAGATACATTTGTAGTGTTGGGGATTGAAAACCACCTAAGCTGTGGACGTGCTCATAAAATTTTTTATTCCTGGCATTTGGTCTTTCATTGTCACTAGAATTCCTCCTCTCTCCACGTTATCATTGAAACCTTTTATACAATTTATTAAACGTGCAAGGTATATGATCTTTTGGCAATAAACCACCACGAGACAATTTCAGCTAAACTTGCTCAAGCACCTAACATTGATAAGTTTGATCCGGTGTATGTACCTTTAAATTGATTGTTGAAGCAACGATTTCTGACTTTGACAGTTTATTATTAATCACGTAATAAAAAAGTAATTTTCTCCCACACAAGCAATAGTTTTAAACTAAAAATCATGTTCAAATATTACCTAACAATCAATTTTGCAAACAAGTACAAGACAATTAATTGTAAACGTTTGCACGCTCCAGGCAAAACTTGAATTGAAAGAGGATAGTAGTGTTTCATCACAGTACAAAACTTAGAGGCAACCCTAAAATCTTTTCACCCGAAAACTCGACCCGACTTGTGCTCGCATATAAACATGTAATGCAAAGGGTTGTATTTAAGATTTACGAGTTGTTGTTAGTCAACCGGGTGTCACTGCAGAAACTGAGGGTGAAAAATTCACAGATGTGTTCTTATATATATTAAATTAAATTTAAAACTAACTCTTCGAATTTTTCACCCTCAATTTCATAAGAATACCAAACTGACTCTAAACATTATTCATCTCCCCCGTCCAACACACCCACACATTGGTTGCAGCAACACAGAAGACAAGCTAATGATAAACCATGTGATGTGATCTGGTAAGCAACCTACTGAATTTTTCAAAATGTAACAACTATGTATCAATATCTGTAACACTATATGATTAGTAAAACATCTCATCTGATTCACCTCTTGTGATGAGCATGATGTCAAGGGTTTGAGATGAAACAAAATAATAGACTGCACCACGGTGTTCTGGCAAGATTTGACCCAGCTTCTCACGAACATATACCACGAGATGAGATACTGAAACTGGGTACCAAAGCTCACTGTGGTTTTTTAGAACTATACAACCTCTATGCTTGAAGAACCTGACAGTGAACTATGTGACTTTTGAGTCGGTTTCTCCCAGCAAGGCTAGACCACAGATTTGTGACCAATGTCTTGAACTGCCCTTTCCCAGCAATAGTTTCCCACAACTGTTCAGCAGAAGATCCTTTCAAATCTTCAAGTTTTGAAACATCAACCAGAGAAATGCTCATATTATTCCGGATGATACAGAGTTTCCCATTCAGGGGGACAAGAGCAGCAGCCTCCAAAGCTCGCGAGCTCCCCAAATGCATTTTACTGTCAATATGCTTGCTCCATGAATCAGTGACTTCATCATAAACCCTAATTTTGCATCCATCCTTGCAGTCCAAGGCATAGAGCTTTCCATTTAGGGTAGTGCTAGGGTTTCTCCAGCCAGAAACCATTCCATCATAAATAGGGTACCAGCTATCATTCTCTGGCTGGTAGACCTCACTCAGAACCTGCCGATGAGGACCAAGTCCCTTAAGGAACCACTTCCCATCATAGACAACTCCTATGAAAGGCACCATTGCAGTGCTCATATCTGAAATAAATGACCATCTATTTTTGTTGGGATCATACACCTCAGCTGATCTCAAGGATCTGTGCACACCCTCATTCTCCCCACCAGCAACGTACAAACAATTGTTTATGACACAGGAGCCAAAGAAGTGCCGCCTCCGGAGCATATCTGGGGCTCGGTGCCATTTATTTGTCCTAGCACTATAAAATATGACTCGTCTCATGGATCCCTTTAGTGGGTCCTTGCCACCGAACAAGTACAGGTGACAGCCATTGAGAACAGCACAGCCAAAACCAAGAGCTCCAGAATATTCCCTTGGAACAGGTGGCAGGGGCTGCCACAATTGGTACACAGGATCAAAGGCATGCCATGAGATTTTCCCATCTCGGTCCCTCTTAATAACATATATCCACTCTTCTGCAATTCCAAGACTCTTGCGGAGAGAGTAAAAGAAGTTACCCACCAAAAGACGATACCATCTTTTGCAGACCAGCCGAAGTTTCCGATGTTCAACGCGTGGGACTCGAATTAGGCAAGCAATAGCTAGATCATCAGGGAGTCCTGGAAGTAGTGGGGATTGATTGCGGCTTCTGTCACCACGTGCTGGCTTGTTTCTAGTTGGGTGAATGGATGGTTTAATGTCAGGCCGAAGACAGAGCTTTGTTCCAGGAACATACCTTTTTGCTCCAGCAACAGTTTTTAGGCCTGTATCTACTCTGCATAGACATGCAGTTGTATCAACCTGCAAAAACACATTTGAAACAGAAAATTTATTTATCTACACTTAAAATGAAAGCATATGTATGTGAAGTTATGAACTCAAACAGGAGAAATTGATATCTCTCAGCATATAATACAGATTATACTCCAGATGCAGCAGAGATAGCACCTGGTTTACTAATAAGTAATAACTCAAACATTAATTAGTGAGAGCAATCATTCATGCTCAGATAAAGTAATGTATAAATATAAGCTAATCACCAGTTTATACATCATGAATTTTGTTTTCTTACAATCAGTCTTATGACATTTTGATGAATATTGAACTGCATAGGTTGATACACAATTTGATAAGGCATTTGATGGTCTTATGTAATCAAACCTTCATCAAATCTTGAGAAATTCCAAATCAAAAGCCTCAGAAACAATTGGTCCATGTTAGAAAGCAATTTAATCCATTAGTTGTGTCCAACAATCCCCAAAATTCTGAATGTACAACAAGCTTAACTCTCTGTGAAAAAACACAATTTGTCTCCACATTAATGAGAATTTAGCAGTGAGATTACACAAAATATTATCCCTATCTAACACCAGGATTACAACATTTAAATGTAAGCGTATCTCATCTATCATGGCCCAAAAGCCCGCAGCAACATTTCGGCGATTCAAAGTAAATTACACCAAGAAATTTCGCAGATGTTAAAATGCAACATAAAGAAGAAATGTTCAGCAAGTAATGGCATGGAATAAAACAAGATCAGAGCTCCTTCAAACCACCCGAATCTCGAAGCATTGATTCCAAAAGTCTTCCGTTCACAACATCCTAATAAGTGGTCTTTCTTGATGCTTATTTTTAGACAAACGTTTCTGAAGCTCTTTTGACACAACATATTAGGGCGGCAAGGCAAACATCAGCAATTAGATCAGTAATATGGACACGGAAAGACCAAACCCCAATGGTATAAATAATATCAAGAGTTACGATACTTTTCAAAGAAATGACCACACAGAAAAAAACTCAAACCAACCTAGCATTGGTTGACCTGATAACCTATACATGAAAACGACATATAAACTAGTAAAAAGAAAGACGGGATAAGAAAAGGCGTATAAATCAATTACCAAAGGAGGCTGAATAACTCTTTCCATCTTCCTGGGCCTCAAATTCCCCTCTTCCGGCAAAGATAACTTACAACCAGAACCACTTAAAAATCGAGTCTTTATCCCTCAAACGCCATACCCAACACGAAATTCGAGAGAATCCGGTCCCATAACTCCCTTCTTCTTCTTCTTCTTCCCAGTTCAATTTAACTTGCGTTCTTTCACAACAACGAGGCAAGCGTGGAGGCACCAAATTAATCACAAAGGGTGATCAATGAAACCCATGTGGAATACGAGAACCTCCATATCGAAAATTGCCAAGAATCTAGTCAAATCAAATGCCCTAAATCTTATCTGGTGAGTCTAAAGAGGGGAAAACCTAAATGCGAGACAGCGCGAAATTGGGGGCAAAGGGGAAGCACTGAAAGAGGAAAAGAGGCCCCTTTGGTTCTTACCATCAAACTTCAGTGGAGTTTAGGGCCCATCTCCTCAGCGGCACAACCTACCAAGCATAAGAGTGTGTTCAACAAGAGAACTAGAAGAAGGGAAGGTGAGACTTTAGAGAGAGAAAGAGCAAATTGAAATTGATTATTTTTGAAAAAAAGGAAGCAAAGCAAAACCATTAAAGGAGGAGAGAAGAAATGATGACACCTTGGTGGTTGCCCATTGGAGAATTGGAGAAAAGAGGAACATTTGACAACTTGGGTTGGAAGATGGCTTTTGTTTTGTTTTGTTTTGTTTTGTTTGTTTGTTTGTTTGGAGACTAGGAGGGTTTTGGTTTGGGAAAGGGAAAGTCAAAACTCCAAATCAAATACAATACAATACAAATACCACAACCACTCTGTGTTACTGTGGAGTTGAAGATTGCAAAATGCGAACACAACAAAGGCAGACAAAGATTCAGAACAAAATAACATGGGCCCACCTCTGCAGGAAAAAAGAAAAAGAAAAACACTCCACCAACTATATATTTAATAATGTTGCAGGGTGTATGTTTTGTTTGTTTGACCCACTGCACTTCCACTGCATCATCATCACACACACACACACATCATGGTAACTATTCCTACTCCACCAAGGGTAATTTGGTAGTTTTGCTGGCCGGCTGGCTGGTGAAGGGTGTCCTATCATCCTTTGCATATGATTAGAAATGGGCCATCGATGAGGGTTTACCGCTGAGTTACCAACTACTACTTACTTACATTCCTCCTTTTTCCTCCTTCCAGCACTCAAAATTATTCAGATTCTGATTGGATTATCATAACTAGCCTACCTACACACGCTTTTGCCGTTTTTTTTTTTCTATATGCATAATAAGTTCATTTCCATTTGGGCCCTTTACCTGTGCATTTTAGTTAGTTTCAGTATCGGTAACAATTGTGTTTAGTGTATATTTGCATAATGTAAAGCATAAGTAAACTACAATCTAAGAAAGCATTTAAGCATATACGGTTCAAGAAGTGTTAAATTGTTTCATATCTTCTAATCCTGGATTAGATTTTTCAATTAAAATAATGATTTTTTTTAAGAGATTCTTATGAATGGAATTTAATCATTCATACTTTATATGTTAATGAGCGTGGTTATGATCATGCATGTTGTGTTTCACTATGTTTAGAAATTTAGCAGAGGCCCTACGGCTGGGGACAAGAAGGGGACGGTGTCTTCCTCCCTTATATTTAATTTATATAATCACCGATAAAAAATGCCATTGTAGATGAAGTTACGTGCTATATCTTGATTACCTTATCTTTCTCTCATGCTTATTCAATAAACGTGGAGAAAAAGGTGCATGCACTTTAAAAAATAATTAGAACTCCTATTTGCCCTTGGTTGTTAAAGTATTTTCCCTTTAGCTTGATATTTTTCCAAAAGTCTGTTACAACTCCAACTATGACCTAATTCTTTTCTCCAAAGTTCTAACTAATGGCATATGAGTGCAGTACAGTATCTTATTTGCAAAGATACGTTTCTGGAGTGAGCCATGCTTTTCCACATCAGTGGGATTACATTCCTCATGTAAGATCCTTACCATGAAACACCTTTCCAGCTGGACACTCCTATCACATGTTAGAGCTCTTTTAGGCTTTAGCTACTTAGGAGTATAATCTTTCAACCTCCATGACCATTAAGCAGACAATGTCCTTTTTATATTCCCATTTGAAGCAATAATGCCAATTACATGACGTAACTAAAATGGCCCCACTGAGCTCTATTTCTTTCTGCCAAAAACTTTCCACACTCTTCAAAAGTTTAAGACAGATCGGCTACTGGAATATGGTATTTGAACCCCACTTTCGGTAACAATTTCTTCATCATCATGATGTTGCATATATATGTGATACAGAATACTTGAGAGTAATTAATTAAATCACAATTGATCTCTACCTGAACTCCTTGGCTCTACCAGTGACTGATGAAAGCAAATATCACCTACTAGATATTGCTTAGAATTGAAAAATTATAACCTTTTTGCATTCAACAATGGCGGGTCTAATCAAAGAAACTTAACCACTCTCAAACATTACATATACACTTGAATTGTCCGTTTCATTTTAACCTACTCGTGGTGTTAGAAATCCAACAACAGGGCCAACGCAAGGCCATGTGCATTCTTTAAAAAGCTGCATAATTCAACCCTATCGTTCGTTGTCAAGAATGTTACCATCAAATATTGCCCTTCTCAAAATACAGAGATTTGTCACAAAACGAAGCAGGGTGCAGAGTTGGTAGTCACCATCATGTGTTAGCTCATGCTTTCATCCCATTTCGCAAAAAGCAGAGTTCTTTTTCGGTGCCTCCCTATCATTAACAGTTTCAAAAAAAAAAAATTGAATAACTTTTGAGAGTTCAGTGTATACCTATAATGGTATGCACAAAAATATGTTGAGCACTAAGCATGAGAATGATCAATGGATCCACTTTTTCTTTTTGAAGAAGGAGATATTGATGTGGAGAGATGTCATTCTCAACCTCGGGACAAGACATGGTTGAGGTCCTTGTGTCGTGGGAGGCACACACACAGTCCATGCTTATTTCTGGCTCAACCTCAACCATTAATTCCAAGGTATAGAGATTACTTTTGGTTTGTTATTTGAGATTAGAGACTAATTTCAAATAAGAAACAATTTTTGATGAACAATTAAAGTTCAAAATTTATGTAGTGGAATTTTTTACAGTAAACAAATTGAAAAATTACAAAAGGTGGTTTTTTGAGACAGTTATCTCACAAATAATAAATTTATCATACAGTAAAAAAATTTCACTGGTCATACATATATTTAATTTGCACCAGCATGTTTATTTGTTCTATAATAGTAAAAAAAAAGTTGCTCATTTAGTTAGAAACGATATCTTATGAAAAAGTAAAATTGGTATAACAAAGTCTAATTAATATTTTTCACTCTTTTAATTTGTTTACTTGTTTATAATTTTTATTTTTTTATTGCGATGACTTTGTTAAGATTGTTTTATAACTTTCGTTATCGCAATCAATATCATATTTTTTATTTAAAATATTTTTTAACTATATTACCAAATATTTTAATTTATTTTTTAAAAAATAAATATTATTTTTTTTAAACTAGAAAATTAAATATTCTGCCAATTAGAAGATTTCAACAATAAAATAAGTTGAGATTTTTAAGAAGACATCCTTTTCTTTCCATTAAATCTATATTCTTTACCAAAGTGAAAAAAAGTAACAAATTATAAGAAGTTCCATATTTTCCACATAATCATTATTATTTTAATTTTACCATCTAATTTTTTCTCCCACAATTTATCTTCATAATTTTAAATTTTCACACATTTTAACTATAGGTGTTAAATGCACAGTAAAATATTGACTTATCTCTAAAATGTCAGCGTTTCATCGTTTTTTTTTTTAAACTCTTTGCTAATAACATAATGATAAAACGTGAAAAAAATGATAGTAATAAATGTGCAGAAAAAGATTTAGGTGAAGAAACGTTTAAAAATTAAAAACTTAATAATAAAATATATATAATTGAATGTTATAAAATATATAAAAAAAATCATAGTTGGCCGTACTGTTGAAGGGAAATTCTTCTGGGTCAAACTTATTCGTACAAACAGCTTTAGTACACCCCTGGTTTTATGGAGGGTGTAGGTGGGGCATGGGTATGGGTTTACATTCATGGTTTCTTTATTCATTTAGTTGCTGTGAATCGTAGTTACTTCTTAAACTGGCAGTGTTGAGACCAATCCAAAGTTGCCCAAAATCGTACAAAAACATGGGAGAACAAATTCATCTTGAATAGGACAAAGTTAAACTACATATAATTTTAAAAACTTCTACAAAATAAGTCAAATGCATAACCTGCTATATATAGAGAAAATGTAAAAGAAAAATAAGAAAAATAAAATTAGTGCCAACGTCTACAGTGTATGCATAGTTTGATTTAATTCAATTGCACAGGGAAAACAAAAAAAAATGAACTAATTTATTCATCTAGTTTATTTATGAAATCTTTATTAAAAATTAAAAAGATACGTAAATGTCAGAAAGTATACATAATCTACGTTAAAAAAATAATAAAATCCCCTATATCATCATAACTTGAATTGGAGTTTGTACATATATATATATATATAGACACACACACACACACATCCATCTCCTAAACCATACAAACCAATGGGATTATGGAACTTCATTTAGTCACGCCATTAACCATATAAAGTAACCTTTTTCTAGGAAAGAGTAAAGTAACCTAAGAATATAAACATTATTTAAGAAAATGGCCAATGATTTTCATTTTTACTTCAATGGGAGGACAGAAGTAGGACATTCCCCACCTAACGTGATTTTGTAAAGCATGTGCTTAGATCAATCAAATATGGTAAATCTTCATTAACAAGCAGTTAAATCTACTCACAAAAAGCTGGTAAGATGACAATGTCAAAAAGGTTTTTAAGACAATCGTGCTTTTGTGAGTAACATGCAAAACTTTTGAGAGCTTACATGAACTCTTCCCACCGAGAAAACGTGTAAAAATGCTGCTATGATATCATAAACTGAAGGAAACCAACTGATAGCTGAACACTTTACCCATAAGTCCTATTATCTTCACCTGTAGTAACTAAGATCAGCCGCATTATCATCACTCTAACCAAATGTAATAGTAAGGATGAAAGAATATTAGCTCACTGTTAGCACGAGTTTAAGAAAGCATAACATGTAATACATCATGCTACTTGGAGACAAAACTTCAAACCACATAGCAACCAATCACTCATTGAAATGTGTTAAATACTCTGATCATCTAAGTCAGTACTATTCCTCGCTTGAATCATGAGGCTTAATCTGTACGGAGTTCATCATAGTATTGAGGCCGCAGTGTCCCAAAAATGAGGCAGGGGATTACTACCATGCATGCCATAAATAGTGTAAACTGCAGAGCATATGACAGTGAGGTTATCAGCACAATTTTAACTTTTGGCAGTATATAGAACAAGAATATAAATAGAAGTAAAGACATAAACATGAATGAAAAACACAACTGTTGATATACCAGCAGAGGAAGTGTCAAGAAACTCCATATTGGCCACAAAGCAAAAGAGAACCTAGAGAAGCAAGGGATAGAGTCAAGAAAACAAGGAAACGCCTAATTGAAATATAACATAGAAGTTCTGGCAGTTCCTTACAAGCAAAAGGAGATTATTCCAAATACTGTGGCAAATGGCAACACAGATAAGCTCGTTATTTCCCATTTTTTTAATCCCCATTTTTCATCGAACCTTCGAGCACTCCAGGCCAAGAAAGTTGTATAAATGAAAATTATTGTATTCAAACCAATACCTATCGTCCCAAGATACAAAGGTAGTCTGCAATAAAGTGAGAAGATTGTGAAAATTGTGATAATGATAGAGAGTAGTAGAATCTAATCCATTAAAATCACAACTATAAAATTTGCAGATCCACTTTCATTACTTCAAATTTAGACATCTTCAAACAGATACAACAACACTCATGTTGTACATCACCAAAATAGGTGTTCCTTCTTACCGGAGAGAGCATAGATACAATCAAATAGTATAATAAAGATCATTTCACGTCCAAAAATCCGTTAGGATATTGTGTAGCTTAATAAATCCATGGTAGATATATACAAGTCAATGGCAGGGAGTTGATAAAATCTAGCCAAGAGTCACACCATTTTACAGGATCATGTCATGGGTTACAAAGTACGGACTATTTTTATGCTCTGGACTGATGATTTAATCTTTAATCTTTAGCATAAATCCATGACTCACGGTATGGTATGGTATGGTATGGTATGGTATGGTATGGTATGGTATGGCACAACAAGCAGTTAGTTGTTTGAAAGCCAAAGTTAGAGGAATAACAATGTAATCAATAATGAATATACTAATTGACAAGTAATCATATACTAAAGTTTCTCCAAGTAAAACATGCACATAAATATCATCATCCCCTCTCCTCCATCCAATAAAAATAAGACAAGGCTGACCTGTTTTTTATTTATAAATGAAAAGCATATGCTAGTAAAATAAATTTTGCTTTCCCTATTATTTCTACACTCTATAGCTTCTAAAATGTTCGATTTCACAATCATCCCAGTGACACATTTTGGCCAAAGCATTGCCATGGAAATTATGTAAGAAATCACACTTGACGATAGAAAGTATTGACCAATATCTTCAGTTCCTTGGCCCTAATCTAATGTTCCTGGCTCATAATGTTTTGAACTTGAAAATGATGGTAGGCAGGCAAGATCAGGAAGCACTTCAACTAATGATAGGTGGGGCTAAAGTTTATGAGTTAGGAAGAACGATATATACTCAACTCAATATAATTCACATATTTAACATGTTCCTGAACGACTATACGTCCCAAACCATGAGGTTTAACCAAGTCAAGGCTTTGAAACTATTTGCTGCTATCATGGATGATACAATAATCCTCCATGAACATTGAGATAGTTGAAATACCAGCGGAAGTCTATAACTACAGTCAAACCACTATGCATAAAAGACTGCAATTTGAATGTTGTTACCTTCTAATTCGATTGTCATGGCACAACAGATGTATCATATTGGATTCTTGATCACCAAAGTATAGAATAAAAGCAGCAGAAGCAAGCCAAAGAAAATTTTCCAGCATTTCAATCCACGTCTTAGGTGGAGGACTAGGGCCCAAGAAGGAACGGTGCCTGGAACATGCATCATCCTCTAGGTCATCACCACTGCTTGCATACCCCTGGCTATGCCTCTGCCTCATAAGTCCACCACCCCCTCGCGGTGTTCCACCAGACATTGCAACGAAACAAATCAAATACACAAACACCACCTCCCAACTAATACCAGCACAAACAACCACAACCTACATTAGATCCTCACCCTTCCATTCCCAAGACCAACCATCCAATTATTCAATATAAAATATAAGATTCCATAAAATTAAGAAATAAAACACCTCTGATCTAATTTAATCATTCCCAATAATTTTTCAAATGATCTAATGTACACTTCCCAAATCCCAATTACGCACCAGCAAGTAATCCCTTTTAGACGAAATTCATGACCTACAGATTCACAAAATACAACAGCAACCACAGCAACCGGGGCATAGAAATCATCGTCACGTATAAAAATTTCAACCTAGGAATGATCACACCGGAGGAAGGAAAGGACGTCTCAACAATGACCCTCGCCAACCTCGAAAACCCGAGTCACAACGAAATCTCACCCAACAAGAATAATAAATATAAAGGGGAAAAAGCGAATTGGGAATTGAATAATCTAGCAGAACCGAAGAGGAGTTACTGGAAATTGGCGGAAACCCAGTTGAAGCAGGGGGGAAAAGAACACTGAATCTTGAAGAAAAACACGATCTTGATTTGATTAGAGTTACCCAAAAAACTGAATCTGCGATTGGGTTGAAGGGATGAGTGGAAGGAAGGAGGGTTTGGCAGTTGTTGGATGTGGGTGCGCGCACATGCGTGAGCGTTTTTTCTCCTGATGGAGTAGGAAATAGGAAATAGGAAATAGGAAAGACGAGAAGGACAAAGAGGACAAAGGTATCAGAGTTACGGTACTCCTCCAAGTTCCTCCATAAAATAATAAGGATTTGTTGATGTAAGCAAGGGAGATTCGTTTCGTGTATCTATTTACGAAGCCTTCGAATCTTCCTCCAACTCTTTTCTATTTCAAAATCATTTTCATGCTCATTTTTTATTAATGCTAAAAAAGACACGTGGAAGCTTGATGTTAATTAATGACAATGAATGAGATCAAATTCCCAAAAAAACATGGTTAATTACTCCATCTATTATTGATGAAATCTTATTTTATTTTATTTTTCAGAAATATCTTCAAAATACAATTCTCTTTTACAACATTAAGAAGTTAATGCAAAACAAGTCTGTTAAACTTTTTTTTTAGAATGTATTTTTAAAAATAAATATTTCTCAATTAGGAAAAGGAAATATCATTCCATAATTGTATTCATTAACCAAATATCTCCTTCCAGATTACACTAAAAAAATGAATACTTTCTCAATTAAGAAAAACTCAAATTGTTCAGACTCTCAATTTGTCAGAGGATGTAATAAATGACGTTGTGATTGTTGGCTTATAATCAAATAAAGGAGTAAAAACTTGTTATCTATAGAGGTGATAATTCATGTTTGGTGGGTACGGAATATATTTTACTTGATGAAAAATATTTTATTTAAACATTATCTTTAATTGGGAGAGTGGAAGGTAACCTTTTCTTGTGATTCCTAATGGGAAGGGAATGTTGGAGGGTAGCAAAAACGAGTTGAGGGGGAGATTTTGTTGTCCTCCCTGAAGATCTTTTAAAAGCTGAACCAAATAATAAAATTAAAAAAAAAAAAAAAAACTTCCAACCATTTCTGTACAACCTAGTAGTATGTGAGAGATTTGTTGGAGAAGAGTGGTATCTTATTAAGATTTTTCAATTAGAATAATCCTCTGTGATTGGAATATATTAATCCATTTTACAACAAATTTATAGCCTCTATGTCTTGATAACTGGTAAGGGAAAAGGGAATGTTATCTCGAAACTTGTTATGTCATGGTAATAACAACATTAGATTCCTAAGGTTTCTAATTTGTAAGGTAATTTGTGATTTGTTGGTGTCTAAATTGATGAGATGATGACACTTGTCTTGTTCTTCTGGAATGTCTTCCAAAATCTAATTCTCACCTACTTGGAACTCTTTTATTGATGTCAAGTTTTCTAAAATTTTGGAAATTCTTTCAGTTATGAGTTTTGTTGACATATCGATCTCTGTAAATTGTTCACAGTTTTCAATTTCTAGTAGGATGTGGCCAATAAGTTGTTCTGTCAAAAAGGTTTTTGAGGTTCTTAATGATTCCCAAATTGCTTAATAAACATCCAGTAATAGAGTTCTCACAAACATGTACCTTCAAGAACCATGTATAATGCCAAGTCCAGTGGACAAGTGAAATTCATAATTATTTCAGGGTTTCTTAATACTAAATAATGGTTAAAAAGAAAGGGAATATATCTTCTAACATATTTCTAGCAAATAAAATCAAAGAAAAAGTGTATTAGAAAGAAGGGAGAATGTAATAACTAACATCTATAGAATATTTTAAGGAAAAATTCATATTGAACTTCAAGTTATCATAGTGTAATATTATATAAATTCTCTTTAAGAGTTAAACATATATCTAATCCGTATAAATATCTCCAATTTGTTTTAATCCATTTTTTTTTTATTTTTTCATTAAAGTGTCAACCTATTGTCTCTCATTTAAAAAACAAAAATAAAAGTCTTGTATCATACACATACTCACTCCAATAATATTATATTACTTTATATTTAATATTATTTTATTATACCGATTAAATGATGATTCATCACAATTAAACCATTAAAATTTGAACGGTTGTTTTAATCTTCCAGTTTAAAATTTATTCAATCTATTATTAGTGATTACCATGTAATTAAGGTGAAAGTGGAACTAAGTGCCCTTATAAAACTTCACATTCATTTACTGATCCTAATAATATAGTATGTTACTCGCATTTTTTAATTAATATCGGAGAAAATGTGGTAAGATTTCTTAATTTAGTATTCTAGGAATTCGAATTAAATTTATACCTGTATCATCAATTTAAACATTTAAATCATAATATACCTTCATAAATAAATTATATATTTTTATGATTAAAAATAGAAAAAAATTGCGCTTAAAGCATACATTTTTGTAGGTACTACTGTCTGAGATAATGATGAAAAATAGAAATAATTATATTTTGCAATAATTTTTACATTACAAAATCGTTTATATAATAATAATATTGATAAATCTCATATCAATACACGAAAGATCAGTGAAATTTCAGCTTTGAATCATTTGTGTTTTGTTAATGATGTAACCTCCATTTATCATAAAGTGTGAATAGAATACTGTATACGTATAGCTGGACTTATTGATATCTAATATATGAATAAATTTGTGATATTATAAATATTATTATCGTGACGTAATTATTAAAAAAATTATATATTTATTTTAACGTAATTTTAATAAATATTTTAAAAAAATAATATAACTAATTATTATAATTTAACTTAATTAAATTATTAAATAATAAATGCATTTAATTTATAAATATTTGATATTTTTAATTAGATGAATAATTATTTTTTATAATAAAATAATTATAAAAAATTATTTTTTGTCACAATAAAAAATTATTTATTATTATTATAATTTTAAATAATTAATTAATATTTTTGTAGTTTAATGTTGGTTTTAAAATAATTGTTTTAACATATTTTTGTTAAATCTTATTATAGTATAGTTTAGGTAGAAGAATAGGTAAGAAAGAATAGAAAAAAAAAGACATGAGATAAAGAAAATATATTAGGTGTGAATGAGGAAAAAAAGAATAAAAATATTTTATGAGGAGAAAGAAGAAAATCTATGCGTTAATAATAAATAGGTCTATCATAAATAATTTAATAAAAATTTATTTGAGTATTTTTTTTTAAATATATTATTTATAAAATTAATTTATAAGATAACTGTTCCAATTTTTTAAATTATATACTCACTTTTAAAATTATTTTTTGAAATAACAGATTTTAAAAGGTATTTTTAAAATAAAATTTGGAAATAACTGATTTATAAAATACTTTTTTAAATCGGTTTTTACGAAACCATTTTTTTTAAATTGATTTTTCATAATTAAAATATGATTTAAAATTTATATTTTTATGGGTTAAAACCTATGTAAAAAATCTTTTTAAACTGATTAAATCAGTTTTTTTTTAGTTTATTCAAAATTTATTTGTATATAAATGAATTAAAGAACTATTAAATAATCGATTTAAAATTGGTAACCAATTGTCTGAAGGTTGACTTTCTGCAAAATTTTGCTTACATAAATAAATGAAACAATTTAATTTTTAGTATAATTTTGAATGTATTGTGTGTGGCATTATATATTATGTAATCAATGTTGTGCTTAAAAATAATTTATATTTTATATTTTGATAATAATAATAATAATAATAATAATAATAATAATAATAATAATAATAAGCTTTATATTTAAATGAATTAGTTTCGATTTAAAGTTAACTCAATTTACAATATAATAAAATTTAATTTAGTTATTGTTATTTTATCTTCCTCATTATAATGAATGTGGTATTTGACTTTAAAGTATAAACTAATATGGCTACAATTTAATTTATTTTTTATCAAAAGTTGTTTTAAATTTTTAATCATGAATTAAAATGATAAAAGTAATAATTTTGAATAACAGAGGACAAAACTTTCACGTGTTAAGAATCGGATAGATAAAATTTGAAGTTGAAGCGCCCAACATGCGCTTTGGTATTTGAAAACGAGGAAAAATCGATGTTGGTAGCTTTGTATGCATGAGGTATATATATTGAAAGTTATGTGTGTTTCAATTGCAGGTTTCTTCATGCTTATCCGAAGTTTCAGCAGTGACATGTTTTTGTCTGCTACAAAAAGTAATAGACTAGGTCACAGAGACATGCACAAAACTTACGTGTCGTTAAACAAGATAAGTGTTACATGCTCCCCAGACCTGATTCATTAGAAGAAATCTACGTGTAACGAAATCCTTGTTTGAATCCAATCCAAAGTTCAAGCACGAAACTTCTAACACACGCAAGACAAAATACTTGAGTTTTCTTAACAAGCCACTATAAATAGTAGCACGCAGAACATAGGACAACCTCGCTTTTCTCTATCCTATCAAGATTATTCTTTGATACGCTTGAAACTTTTTGCACCGCCGTACACCTTTCAGATCCAGTTTCTAATTTTGTTTCTTCTTGATTGTTGTGCTGATTGATAGAACCCGAAAGGGACAGACGCAATGTCCAATCCTTTGCAACTCAAGTCATTGAATCATATCTCAATTGTGTGTGCATCACTGGAGAAGTCCGTTGAGTTTTACGTGAACGTTCTTGGGTTTTCTCCTATCAAGAGACCTAGTTCGTTAGACTTCAATGGAGCATGGTAAGCTTAATCATTTGTAGTATTGCTATTGGCATCATATCATCACAAACTTTCATATACTTGAGGAGATATGTTTCCACCATTGAAGAACCAATTGACCGAAGTTTTGGTTAAAAACAGAAAGATATGCGCTTATTGTTTTGCATAGAAATTGAATAGTCATGGCCTTTTTGTTTGATATTGATTCTGGTAGGTTATTCAACTATGGCATTGGAATACACCTTCTCCAATCAGACGACCCACAAGGCATGCCCAAGACTACTCCCATTAATCCTAAGGACAATCACATTTCTTTCCAAGTACGTTCTCTCCCAGTATCATTTCAACTTAGTTGCATAGTTAATACATATATGTCTTCATACTCACGGAACGAATTGTGCATTGTTGTAGTGTGAAAGTACAGTAGCCGTGGAGAAAAAACTGCAGCAAATGGAGATAGAGTACGTGAAGAGCAGAGTAGAGGAAAGTGGAATCTACGTTGATCAGCTATTCTTCCATGACCCAGATGGCATGATGATTGAAATCTGCAACTGTGACAACATCCCTGTGGTGCCTTTATCAGAGAACAAAGTACGGTCATGCTCACGCTTCAATTGCAATATTCCAAACCGGCACCCGCAAATTCAACAGATGATCCCAATGTAGTGACAACTTTCAATCTCCATCAATTCTTGAATAAAATGATCACATGTAAATATGTCGCTATTGTAATAAATTTTTCTTCAGAAAAAATCTTTCTTCATCAATTTTCTCTTTTATTGAGCTGGAAACTTGGGGTGAATAGGCGACGGTGATCTGTCACTGTACCACCAAGGCCACCTACTTAAGAGTTGATGACCCATCTACTCTTCTCCTATATAGTTTAATAGATTGTGAATAATTTTCATGAATTGAACTAATAAATTCATTCATATTCTTCAAGGACTTTTCCACAACATGCACAAGATATAACATGTTCTTTCCCAATAATAATTTGCTCATCATAACTAAAAAGTTTTCAATAAAACAAACAAACAAACCTGTTACACTTTTACCTTGAGTAAGTCAGAAACTCTTGAATTAAATGTATACATTATACTCTTTGGAGACATATTTGCAAAATAAGCAAGTTAGGATAAAACATATCATTACAATAATTTGGGATAACAGATCTAACAAGTCTTTAATAAAGTGTAATTAAATTTTTTAAAAAGCTTAGTTAGAAACTCATGAAAAAGGAAGAAAAAAACATGAAAGAGAAGCGTATAAAACCCTTTCATTTATAATAAGTCTTTAACCAAGTTAAAGAATACATTTAGACCAAATCTAAAATTATGAAAAGGGAAGCATAAAACAGGAAGTTAAAGAATACATGTAGACCAAATCTAAAATTATGAAAAGGGAAGAAGAAAACATGGAAGAGAGAGTATGATAAAATTCTTGCATTTGTAAAGTGTTTATTGAATATATTAATTGTAAACCAAGTTAAAAATAAATCTAGACCAAATCTTAAATGATTAAGCCAAAGGGATCAAATTAAATTAAATATTTTTTAATAACCAATAATTATTTAAAAAGATTTTTCAATTTAATAAAAATTTTAAACATCAAGAAAATATGCAACATTTACATTTCACGTCTAGTGTGGTGGGTTTGTCCCAAGGGAGGTTGATTAAACCTAGCTTCTCAGTCCCATGTTTGCAGATAGAAATAAACTACAATTTTTGGGAATAAAGGGTTGAATTTCTTGAAATACCAAGTGGTGTATTCTTGAACAGCAAGGAATTTCGTATCTTACTTCTTTTTTTATCATGAATACATAAAGGATGTAGAGAAAGGTCCTAAAAAATGGGGAGGATCTATTGGAGAATGCTTAGCAACTAGCAAGCTCTCTGTATTTGAAAATAAAGCAATTGGGGTACCATGCCATGGAGAAATAGTTGCTTCAATGGACAGATCCTGTAATTAATAGGTTTGGTTATGCAACGCATGTTAAAGCACGTTCAATAAAGAGTGAAGATGTGAAAACAAATATGAAGAGGCAAAATTAAAGTTTGAGCAGTTATCCATCCATGAGACAGTAAAGAAAAACAAGTTTTGACTTCGTGATGGAATCTGCAACATGAAAAAGGAGATTGAGGAAATGATGATAACATGTTTGCAGAAGAATTTCAAACCTGAAAATTGCTGATAACATGTTATAATCTTTAACACCTGAATGAAGGAACAAACACTAATAACAACAGAAGAAGGGTGATGAAAGTGAAGAAGAAGGAGCTCCCTTCAGTCCAAAACAGCATGAAGTTGATGCAGGAGGGTGTTTTGGGCTGCAAGGGAACTCCTATTTCTGCATCTTTCACAATTCGACATATAGAATGAAGGAGAGTGCAGGAAAGAGAGAAAACGAGCTCCTTTTTATGCACTCTGTTTAGCACTTTACCTTTGATTCAATCAATGGTCAAAATAATTTAGTTCAATTAAATTTAATGCATTTAGAAAACAGAAATTAGGTACTCATCTGTAACTGAAGCTACCGTTACTAGGCTCAGGGTACCTCCTTTTTTACAACTCTACCTTTACTTGTCCCTCAAGGGATAGTGCCTAGCCACCATAGGCATATAGCTGTAAAATGATGGTTCACTGCATGACTTGCTCCACCCTCTTTCCTACCAAAGCAAACCCAGTAAAGTAAACAATTTTCTGTTTTGATTAGAAGAAATCAATTACATGACAAATCATGGATGTTTTTTATTCATAAGTTAAATTTCTTACTTTACTTTTTACTTATTTTAGGAATCAAATCCAAAAATAAAATATAAATGCTAGATAGTTAGGTTTTACCAACATTTAAATAATACAGAAGGAAGACAACAAGTATCATCTAACAAACGTTAACAACATTCTCTTACACAATATAATTACGACGCTTAAAATTGCTCTTTCTCCATCTCCCTCTAAATTTGACATAGAAGGTATATTAATAAAAATTATATAAATATTTCTTTTTCAATTTTACAGAACTTATATCCATGAAATTTAAAGTGATGTTTTTATTATTAAGGATGTATTGTAGAAAATACTCCCTAGTTGTATGCACTTAAGGTAATTCGATTTTTGTTTTCTTTTTCTATTTCTCCTTTCGTCGTATTAACCCTTCTACAAGGGTTCACATAATTATTATCGTTATGAAATAAAATAGAAATAAAAAGTGTTTGATTGAAAAATGAATAATTACGAGTGACACAAAAATAAGTAGAAATAAATAAAAAAATCATATTTTTTAAGTTTTTTTTCTCTTTTTCTTCCATTAAATAACATCATATTATTCTTATCCTTCTCACTCTTAAAAAAAATGTTTATATTAAGAGGAAAAGAAAAAGGATGGAAAGAAAATAAGTAGTAAGTGAAATGATTTTTAACGTGATAAAAAGAGGAAGTATATAAATATAATGTTCTATGTTGTCAATATAAAAAAAAATATAATTGAAAAGATATATAAGGACAGTTTTGTCTTCTGCAATGAAAAGAGTTTCCCTCTCTGTGTTGGTCCAAAAGCGAAAGTAACCTGATTTAGTTTTATTTTTTTTTGTTTTAAAAAATTTAGTAATTATTTTTTAAAAAATTATATTTTTGATAATAAGTTTTTCAACTAACTTAAGTTTTAAAAATATTTCAGACAAAAGATAACTTACCTTATTTGAGAAGTGGATATTATTAATGAAAATAGAAAATATATTTCACTAACTTTTATTTTTATTTTTTAAAAAGCAAAAATAAATTTTGAAAACTACTTTCATAAAACATTTAGAAAACAAAATTTACAACTTTTTTTAAATAGTAAATAAATAAGTTCTCATCTTATATTTAGATAGACAATTTACTATTTTCAGTATATTCAAAACATAGAATCTAAATTGCTTTTATTTTAAATGGTTTGGCTTTTAAAAATATTTTATTTAAATAAAATAATTTTAAGTTATTAAATTTAAACTTTTTATTTAAATAAAATACTTGAATTAACAAAAGATAATAATCTTGTAGAGATCACATGTATAACAATTATGGAAAATTGAAAAAAAAATTACCGTTTGACATTGTCCAATGAAATCCTCACAAATATGAATCAAGAAATAGATAATTTCAACAGCATGTCGACTAAAAACTAATGTCTAACAACATCAACTAAAATTTTTAATTTACATTAGCTGAAAAATATTACTTTAGTTGATAAAAAAAACTGTTGTTAGCATGAGACAAAAAAAATGACCCTACAAATGTTGGTCGAGAAAAAAACTGAATTTATATTAAGCAAGAAACAACCTTAAACTATGCTCCCATAGAGATTGGTTGAAAAATAAACCTTGACTAACATCAATTATAAATGATTCCAGTTGATATAAACCTAAAAATTTACATTTGGTAAAGAAATATCTTACTGACATTAACTGACAAATGATTTTGAAAAGTAGTCACGATTGAATAGACATTTGGCAAAGTCAATTGAAAAAATAATATTGAAATGACAAGACCTTCTTAATATTGAAATGAGCCCCACCAGAGCAATGCAGGCTATGGAATCCCTGATTGAAGCCCCTCCAACAGCAGCTGTTGAAGACGAAAGCAATAACCCTCATGCATTGTTCCCACCTTTCACTCTGCCCTACCCTCTGCCATGGCCATCAAATTTACCCCCATAATGATAATAATAATGAAGAGTTGATTTTATGATACTCTTGTAGTCGGTTTAATTAATTGATAAAATAAGAGTTGATCGTACAAGGTTCTTTGTTGTTTGTTGTTGATACAAAATCTCTACCCACACATGCTCTTATTTACTCTCGTACGTTCCACCAAGATTCTTTTCATGAATTGTATCCGCAGATTATCCTTCATTCTCCTCTCATCCTTTCCATCCATTTCTTCATTCTCTGCTAATGATTACAAATTATAGTTGGATTGTTATATTTTATATATGATATAATTCATACCAATTAAAAAATTGATAACTGATTCAGTTTTACTAATATATTATTATTAAAAATACACTTGTTTCTTTCTTCGTTTTCCCCTTTCAGTGTTATTCAATATTTTTGCTTTGTTAAAATAGATACAATACTTTTTCTTTTTTATGGTTTATTTCAATGAACTTTAGTCCTGTTTTAACCTCCTTTCTTAATTATTTTATCATTCTAATTCATTATATATATTTCAAGTGGATTTTTTACATGAGCTTTGGTAAATAATATTGGCAAAATAACTACTAATCATAGGACTTTTTTTGTTGGGGGTTGTAATAAATTTCCTACAAGTAAATGGTTTGTTATTTAGAAAGCTAAAAAATAAAAATATACTGTAACTGATACATTACGTCGGCGACCACGCTGTACGATACAATGTTCTACGCACAAATAAAGTTGGAAAAAACTTTTTTATTCGATTCCTTGATAAAATAAAGAAGAAAAAAAGAGTACGAAACGAAAACACCCCATCTACTTCGTAGAAGTACATAATTTGGTCCAATTAATACATAATATTAAACAATTAATAAATAACAAGAATGTTTTATGCAAGAAGCAAGACGAATCAAGTGGCAATGTTTTTTTCTTTTATAACAAATTGTTCAATAACGTATAGAAAAATATTCTATTTCTTAAGTATTTTTATCTTATTTTTTATTTTTGTCATTTAAAATAAATTGAGTTTGTTTTAAATAAATATTTTAATTTTATATTTTATTATTTGATTTCTATTTATTCTTTTATTTATAAAATTTTTATTTTTTAGTTAATTCTTGTTTTATTGAATTTCTTCTTTTTTAATATTTGACTGTGTATACATAGGACTAGAAATTTGGAATTTAAAATTATTTTTATAATTTTTAGAAATTCAAATAGATCAATCCCAAAAGCTTTTAAGGTCTTTTTGATTGAACGAAAATATTCACTTAATTCAAAATTAAAAAAAAAACAATTAAAAAAAAAACTTTTGCTTGAGCAAGGATTTGAGTGGAAATTACCCTTCATTATTTCTCTTTCATCTCCAATGAGTAAAAGTAACTTCATTAGAATAAAAAATAGATTTTTTTTTTTAACTTTCACTCAAGCAAATCGCATTACTTTTTTCACCATTTTGTACTCACACTAGCCATATAAGTCTCACTTAAGTGAAAATGAAGTCAACAAAATAATTTTTAACCTTTTTTATCTTCATATTTAATAATACAACTCATTTATATTATAATCATACAATAAAAATACTATATAATATTAAAATAATATAAACATGTTTTTCTATTTTTATTTTAAAATAAAATAACATATATATTTCCTTTTTAATATATTAGAACTTAAATAATTAACTTATCTTATCTAGATATTCGTTATTTTTAACTTCTTTGAAGTATATACATAATCCATTATCAATATTTTGACTCCAAAACCTAGGTAGCACCTTTAATCAGAATATATCTTATTATCTAATTTCTTCACTTAAGTTCATAATAACAAAAATGATAAAAAAAAAACTTATCCCTTCAAAATTCTGATAGGACAAAATCTTTTCCTTCTCTTACCATTTTTAGATCTAAATTATATTAGAGAATCTAAAGAATTCTACTTAAAAAAAATTATTTATAAAAATTATTTAACTTAATCTTATTTATAATTTCTCTAAATAATTGAATATATTTTTGTATTATAAACTTCACATTGTTACATATATCTAGCATCCAAATAAGGAAACATGTACCTAAATTATTAAATAAGAGATTAAGAAAACAACCCAAACACATGAGTTGAAGATGTCAATGTTTATGTAAGTAGTGACCTGAAACAAAGAGTTATAGATATAAATTAACTAAAATTGTGGCACACCTTTTAAACCTCCCTGATCTTATCTGAAGTAGGAACCAGACTTTTGGCCACCATAGAGATTGCTTTTGACAAGCCAACATACAAGAAGTGTTGTGTTTGTTTTGTGTAGATTCAGTGTTTCAGTGTTTCTTCCTAAATAATGCGATGGAGCTTGTTTTCTGTTGTCTGCATAACAACGCATGTACCGGTATTGAGTAGGAAAGATAGTGAATGGATTGGATTAGTTAAACAATGGAAATTATCAACGTGTCTCAAGCTTATTCATATTTTGTTGGCCTATAATTTCGAGCATTTGTGATCATATGGCAATTTCTTGAAAATTTTAGTACTTCTTGTGTAAGATGTATAATTTTTTCAATTTAACCTCAATGGACTTCGTATTTGGACAATTTATTTATTGAGAAATGCACTTCAATAATTTGAAAATATCAATATATGCTTAAGGTAGTTGATAAAGAAAAAAAATATGTTATGATCTTAGACACGATAAATCAAGAACAAAAAAATTACATTTTTCAGAAAAGAAAAAGGTAGAAAAAGACACAATTTACTTCACAAATATATTTTTTTAAAGGTGGAAGACAAATAACAAAATTTGAAAAAATTAACAAAATATAATTTTATTTACCTTGGTCATAAATTTTAAGATTACATTTATGTGTTAAGAGGATAGAGATTAGAAACTAAAAAAAAAAATCTTTTATATCAAAATATGAAAAGAAAAATTTAGTCCTTAAAAACATTTTTTGAGAGACTAATTTTAGTAAATAAATATTAAGTGGTAAAAAGTTGATATAATTATGCCTTGAATTATTATGAAATCACTTAACTTATGTTAATTCTAATATATTTTTCTTCCAATATATGATGAATTCGAGAATACCTTGATACAAGAGTAAGGAGCATAATTGGAGTAAAACTAGAAGAAGGAAAAAAATTTTCAGCATGGAAGTCGCTCGAGCGGGATGAACTCTCGCTTAAGCGAATATCATTTATTTTTCTCTAGAAGTCAGTCGCTCAAGTGCAAGAAAATTCGCTTGGGCGAATGTTAATTATTCTTCTCTGGAGTTCACTCGCTCAAGTGAGTGTTTTGTCGCTTGAGCGAGAATAGACAACTTTCGCTTGAGCGAAAGACGCAAAGCCCAAAAACCCAATTTTTCCTATAAAAAGAGAAGATGTGTTTTGAGAAAAGCAAGCGATTTTAGGGAGAAGATACGCAACTACTGCTAGGATTTCGTCCAATCTTCATCAATTCTTTACTTCTTCCACATTTGGAGCATTGCAATGGCCAACATGAGTGACTAACTTCATTCTCTTGGGATTGAGTGTACTTCCTTTGAACTCTTTTGTATCATGGTAATATTTTGATATATTAATCTATGTTTTGATGTTGTTATTCTTATCCTTTGTGCTTTGAAATGATTTATTCTTGATGTTTGGGGTATGATTGGAAAATATATCTTGAACCTTAGATCACGGTAAGAATATTTGTTACGTTAATTGTCAGGAATGGAATGAATATAATAATTGCTTAACACCCTAAACCTAATGCGAAAAATCTCTTAATTGTGTGAGGAATCAACATTTATTAGGTTTTCTTATGAATTTCATATGTGAGGAATCGACATGGATGATTTGAGTAAGTGACATTAACATTGTTAGGTTAATTGACGTTCTTAATTGACATAGCCATTACAAAAGAAATATAAGGAAGGAAGTCAATTCTAAGTGCCTTTAATTGATATTTTCTCAACAATTTAGAGTTCTTTGTCATTTAATTTCAATTCAACTCTTTATGTAAAACCCACTCTGTTTTAATTTACTTAGTAAGCATAAAATTGGGAATTTTCATTGAAACCGTTCCTCGTGGGATCGACTTTTATTTAATCGAAATATCATACTGTAATTGATAATTTTGGTACATTTGTCAATAAATCAACAAGTATTTCTGGCGCTGTTGCCGAGGATATTATTTGAGAATTCTTTGTTTAGTTTATTGAATATTTTATTTTTATTTCTGTTTTGTTTTATTTTTCAGTTTTAGTTTTACTTAATTATTGGCTTGTGCTAATTTTTGCTTGAGTTATTATTTTGATTTATGCGTTTAAGAGGACATGTATCTTCAGAGCAGTTAGAATATAATCCGGAGATTGAAAAAACTGCTTGGAGGAACCGGGGTAGAAGAAGAAGGAAAACTCAAGAACAAACCATAGGAGAATTAGTTAACTCTTCTTCCACACTTAATTTACCAGACCTAATTATAGAAGATATGGCAGAAGACGGAGCAAATCTGAATCCAAATCCAAATCAAAATCCAAATTCAAATCCACCTAGAAGAACACTCAGAAACTATGTTATGCAGCAAGGTCCGAGACACTTTTCCAGCATTGTCGTACTGAACGACCAAACATTGTAGATGAATCCAGCTTTCTTAAGTTTGATTAGTGTTCATCAATTCAATGGACTGGTTCATGAAGACTCTTACATTTATTTGTCTACTTTTTATGAGTTGATTAGTACCATGAGATTTAGATCAGTGAATCTTGAATCTTCATATTTGAGATTATTTCCTTTTTCTTTGGCAGGTAGGGCAAAGAAGTGGTTGAAGGCACATTCTAATCAGAGTTTGACTTATTGGAGTAGCGTAGAAAAGAAGTTTCTGAATAAATTTTTCCCACCATCCCGTTACATCAAAGCAAAATCCGACATCACTTCTTTCAGACAAGGAGCAGATGAAAATTTTTGTGAAACATGGAAGAAATTTAAATCACTGTTGAGAAGATGCCCAAATCATGGATTTGATAACATTGCTCAGTTGAATATTTTATACACTAATTTGCGACATGATACAAAGTTGCTATTAGAGGCTGCAGCAGGAGGATCCATGTTAGATGTAGAAATTGAACATGCCACAAGAATTATAGATGCACTAACTTTTACAGACCAACAGACCCAACATGATAGACATTCAGTTCAAAGAAAGGGAGTACTTGAACTTAGCACCTTAGATGCTATCTTAGCCCAAAATAAACTTATAACCCAACAAATTAAAGCATTGAACCAGAAAATAGAGAAATTACCTCAATAAATGCATACAGTACAATCCATTGTTAATCAACAGATGAGTTGTGACGTGTGTGGGGGTGATCATACAAATGAACAATGCTCTTATCAAGGCAACATTAAACAAGAAGCTAATTATATGAGTGTTCAAGGTAGTAGTAGTTAAGGCTGACAAGGTAATTTTCCTAATCCCAATAATTATCAAAATAATTTTGCACAAGGATGGAGAGAGAATCAAAATCAAAATCAAAATCAAAATTTTGGGTGAAACCAATGTGTTAATTCATCTACTAGACAACCTCTATTTCAACAACAGTCATATCAGCAACCTCCATATCAACAACAACAACAACATTATCCTTCAATGCCTAACAGAATGAGTAAATTAGAGGACACTTTAGAAAAATTCATGCAAAACATTATGGCTAATCAGAAAAATACTAAGGCTTCATTCAGAAATTTAGAGTCCCAGATTGGCCAACTGGCTAAACAATTATCTAAGCAGCAACAAGGAGGACAATTTTCATCTAACACACAAACTAACCCCAGGGAGCAATGCAATTCAATAACTACAATAAGTGGAAAAGTTGTAGGTAAGAGGATTGATGACAATATAGCTGTTGAAGAAGAAGTTATGGTAAAAGAAGATAAAGAGCAAAAAGAGGAGAATAATAAAGAAAGACATATCCCTAATAAGAAGAACGAAGAGGGAAAGAAAAAGCAAAAGATAGAAAAATGAGAGAGTCAAAAACCATTTGTAGAGAAGTTACCATATCCCAAGGTTCCCTCATAGATAGACAAAGAAAGACAATTCACCAAATTTATGGATATTTTCAAAAGACTGCAGATTAATATATCCTTTGTGGAAGCTATGGAGCAAATACCAACATACGCCAAATTCATGAAAGAGCTCTTAACTAAGAAAAGAAGATTTACTGATGAAATAGTGGAGTTAGAGGTAGGGTGTAGTGATATATTCGAGAAATCATTGCCTCAAAAGTCCAAGGACCCTGGAAGCTTCACTATACCAGTCACAATTGGTACATTACCAGTGAAAAAAACATTACTTGATTTAGGGGCCAACATAA